TTCAGGAATGTATGCTAACATTACAGAATGCTTCAAAATTTTTTCCACCCTGCCATTCACCACATGCGAGTGCAAAAGGAATGTGTCTGCTTTGAGGTGACTAAAAACATATTTACGAAGCACGACGTCACGGACAAGATTGACAGGACTTGCCTTGTTGCACATTCATTACAACATGTACATTGACTTTGATGAAATAATTGGTAGGTTTGCAAGACTCCATTCAAGAAGAATGCAACTTGCAAATATATTGTCCGATTGACTCCAGAAGCCAGGAGAGGGCACTTTAGGCAATTAAAATTGAAAAAAATTTCCGGGGAGGCATGCCCCCGGACCCCCCTAGATTCTTGCGCCTTCGGCGCTCGGTTGTCAGTAAAACGGTCAGGATTTTCCCAAGATCCGCGCCTGTAATTCGTTTCTTTTAGATAAAAGTAGTTTTCTAGTTAACCGTGTACGTCAAGGTTATCATTCCAGGTAAGCTGATGTTTTATGAATTAGTTGCAAAAATATCTTGATCATGTTGTGGCGAGAAAGTTTGACTTAGTTTTTAATAGAAACTTGTTAATTAATTCGGGAAATCTACATGCATGTGTTTGTTCTCAACAATGAAACCGAACTGTGACTATTTAGTGTCTTTACTATGTGCCATACGGGTACAGGCATGTGTTGTAAAAAGTTTGCACAGCTTTCTCATAATTACACATTTCTTTTTCTAAGAGTCTTGTTCGTGCGGCCCACGCTGAATTCCAATTTATCAACCAAATTTTGTAGAGTTTTGAAATCGCAGTTAGATCTCCAAGCATTAGTTATCAACAGGCCTTTTTAAACCTTTTTGTTATTGCATGAAATCTTGCAAATGTATGGTACTTTAATTTTCCCCCTAACCCTGTTAAAATTTTATTATGTGTAGGGAATGGTATTGGCTACATAAGTACAGTCAAATTAAAGTTTTGTACGCAGCTTAAATATGTAATAATTTACATATATAAGCTTAGTTATGTATTTTATATAAGCTTATTTACATGTAGAGATTATTTATGTAATAATTTACTTTACTACATCACTCGCAGCGCCCGTGGGCAAGATGAAGGGAATCCTGTGCTCTGATTGGCTACCCGAGCGGGCCAGATGGGCCCATCTGGCCCGCTCGGGATTACCAGCATTGATCCAGCGCATGAAGAAAATAGAATTAGAACTGCGTTTGTAATTCTTGGACAATTTCAGCGATGGAAACGCAAACAGCGGAACGACTCTCGCGAGTTCGCTGTGCTACAAACACAGTTGGCTTTCTTTTCCAGCTCTCGAGGTAAACAAGTCATTTTTAATTGTTAATTAAGCGAAATATTTTGCAATATAATAAATCCTTTTGTAGCGGACGGAGGGATCTAGAGACATTCCATCATTGCTCCGAACGCGATATTTAGATAGGACTTTATACTGAAACCAAGTAAGCCACTCGTATCGATCAAAGCTCTTTAATTTCTTGATTTACTTGATTACGTAAAAACTGAAAGGATAATTACAACAAAAACCTATTACTATAATTCGCACAGAACATCGATTGTGCAATAGCAACGCAAAAGGGGGCGTATCACGGTACTAGAAATTCACAAAATAACACTAATCACGAGCAATAATATAAGAGAAATACTATAACTAAATAGATTAATACAAATTACAACTACAAATCATACCTCTTTCTCCAATCTTAACTCTTTTCTTTAGGTTTCTTTCGAGTAATCAACGCTACTATATTCCCACGTGTTATCTCGTCGCTCGATTAAGAAAACTGATCTGCTGAGCTATTTGCATCTCATAACCCAACGGAAGTTACACAATCATGGTTAACTATTACACATTAATCATTACATGGCTCCCCTAAATTGTACACAATTTACTTCAACAGCGAAACCAGTGTTCAAGTCACGTT